GTTTGTTCTTCCAAGATCCCAAAATCTGCAATCTTGTTATTGGACAGATGGTACAGATATTTCCCATTACCACAAAGTTCAAAATTATCAGGAAAATCTTTTAAGCTCTACAGTAGGCTTATTCTTATCTGCTCACTGGAGTATCCACTGTTGACACAGACTAAAGGCAAGGCATCCGATTCAACGGGCATCTTGCTTGCTCATAGCTATCCTATATGAATACCAGCACAACTATATTGTCTATAAAATTGCTGGACTAATTAAGGCAAAGCATATCAATCAAACAAAAAAGGAAAAAATGAATAGGATACCACGTGGCCCTTACATTCAGCCCAATTGGGAAAAATCTATCGAGGATTACCTTGCTCGCAGAACAAGAATGGAGAGGATGCAAGTAGTTGAATCTGCTATGTTCGAGTACCCCAACGCTCACTTCAAAATCAAAGAGGAGAGAGGCAGTGAAGAACCGGACAATATGTATCGGAATAGGTACAACCACAGTTTCCCTAGTGATTATCACCATGCGTCTCGTGCCCCTGAAGATCACAAGAAAGTCCACTTTGTGGAGTGTGACAAAACCACTGAAGTTGATAGGAATGGAAAATATGAAATCACAGAGGAAAAGGTTGATAACAAAGCTGATAGCTTCATTAAGAGGAAACACAAGATCTTTGAACTTGCAAAGATGGATACTTTTAAGGTCAATTGAGCATACCACTATTTGCATGGCAGGCAATACACTTCCCTCTGACTCTAAGGTCATTGGTTGAATCACTAGTATAATAAAAAAAATTGTCTGTCGTATACACTTAACCGTAGACTGTCTTTACAGTTGTATGCGAGTAGTTGATATGTACTGAAGTTTGAAGATATTAGTTATTTGCTTATCCTGTGCAACTTGTTCGTCAAATAGGATTGGCTTTGGTATCATCTAAATAACTAAGCTTATCTTTTGTTCTAATTTGCACCACCATCTTCTAATCCTTATAAAACTTAGAAGAAGAAAGCCTCATTCTCTAATTAGTGAAAGAGTCCAGATCCCTGTAAAAGATAGTCCATTTTACTTAACAAATCTTCCACTTTATTCTGTGGCAGGACAGTATAAGAAGTGTTTAGCAACTATATATGAACTGTAGTCTTCTGATATAACATAATTTGCAGAGACCTGATTAGAAGTTGTACACTGCCATGATGAGCTGGACTAAGAAACAAATCATATGCTTTTATTTCTCAAAGTGAAGACATGCTATACTGCAAGTGTTCCTGTACTCTTTTAGCGAAAGCTAAGGGAGAAAGCAGAATTCCCCAAGTCTTGAAAAAAGAAGAAGAAACAATAAAGCAACTAAAGACATAGAACTTGCTGTTTTAGCAGTAATAGTTTGTTAACTAGGAGAGCACCCTCCTGTTCCACAACAATCCCTTCAAGTTCCAATCTTGCAAGAAATTTTCAAAGCAAGGTACAATAATTCAGTAGAGGAAAGGAAAAACCATAGCGCGCAAATGTGTTCTAAATCTCCAATCGCTTTGGCATATGATTCGTTTTTCAAATATTGTAGCTAATTCAATCTTTTAGGTGATGTTAAAAGTTCAGGGACTTTGATTTGGTGGAAGGGAATCAAAAACCAAAACATACCCGTTGATAATTGCTAGATATTTGGCCATCACCAATGACTAAAAGCCACTCTTGTTTTTCATATATTCCACTGGTGGCTGTAGCTTCAGTCTTCTAGTGCTGCCCTCAGCTAAATGATGTCATGCATAGGAAAAAGAAATTCCCAAACGTACAGAAGAATTAGCTGCTTTACCACTTGGAAGCTCTTAATACAAAGAACCAGGGCAAAATCACTACAAAAAGTTGAAATCTTTGGTTTTCGTTTCTTTTCCTATCTACTTCTTTAAAAGGTAAGTGCGCGTGGAACATTTGGACCCCGAAATTCATCATTCTGAAAAACAGAATCTGAGAAAGAGAATTCTCTTGGTTTCTTTTACAAAACGAAACCAAATTTTACATATTACTACAAGGATATCAGCTACAGTAGTAATAGAAAGAAACCAGTCAAAAATTAACCATCGTTATCTGGTGTTAAATCAGCTTCATTATATCTTCTCGAGGACACCCTATTGAACAAGCTTCTTAAACTATTCTTGCTTTCTTTCCGCTTCTGCCCAATTCGAATTGTCTCATCCAATCCAGAAAATGAATGGTCTAGCGCTAGCCCAGCTTCTAACTTCTTAGACAAGTTAACAATCTCATAAGAATCCCAAAGGGATTGGCTGAAATCCCAGCTTCCTGTGCCGCCATAATATTCCCTGGCAGTTGCCTTACTCATAGCTTCAAGCTTGAATCTTGACGGCTTGTTCTTGAAATTGAGACGGTGGGCGTCGAATTCGGCGGTGGTTCTACGGCTGCTGGAATGGCCGTGCCAGGCCTGAGCCACGGCCTTAAGGATTTCAATGTCGTGTTGTTCATCTTGATAAGGCTCTAGCTGCTGCTTGTTGTTCTTCATAGTGTGTTTCGAGTGAGTTGTCTAAGTCTGGGTCTTGTCTTGTATGGGCCACGTTATCTTGAGAAAAGAACAACCTCATATTCTTTTGGCGATGGAAACTTGTGATTCATAACTCTGTTTCGTCTTGAGGTGTGTTACGTGGCCTTCAGGTTAGGAAGACGTACTCCTCTTCAATGTGGGAGGTAGAGATAATAATTTGGCACACCAAAAACTGTATGCATATGTTAGACTGTGTCGGGACAAGGTGAGCCTTGGCGTAACTAGTAAAGTTGTTGTCATGTGATTAGTATGTCACGGGTTCAAGTTGTGGAAATAACCCCTTGTAGAAATGCAAGGTAAGACTGCGTACAATAGAACCTTGTGATCCGGCCCTTTCTCGGACCTCGATCATGTTTTGGGAAAACCAAAAATTGAGATTTTTACATGCTTGCTCCCTTTTAAAAACTATTCTCATAATGATAATAATCTTTGTTTATTTCAAAACTGGCACATTATTTTTTACTTCTTTAACACTTTGACGTTGGTAACTCATTAACTAAGTGATCCCTCTATATCAATACACTTTTTCTATTACATTTCCTTTTCCCTCTCTCTTCCATAATTTTTTTTTTCTCTTCCATAAATAACACTTATCCAAATATATCAAAGATTCTGAAAAAAGAATATCTAAAAAATAATCCCCTCTTTAACGAGGTTGCACAATGAGAATTTTAGTATTTGTTTTTCTTTAAATTTTAAGCTTTTTGCTGTACAATTTTATTTTTACTCAAAATATACCTTTAATATATTTTAAGTATATTATATTGTGATAATTTATAATATAAATACTTCATCAATATGTCATATATATTTTTTATATGTATTTTATACCACATATATAAATTATATATATACACATCATAATATGTAAATAAATAAAATATACCTTACATATTCTTTATAGATGTGTATTATACTTTATATATACCACTATTATATAATTTATCACATATACCATTTAAATAGAAAATATATAAGCACCACCAGTCAAAGTTGTAACATATTCTCTTGAAAATATTACCTAGCAAAGAAATAGGAAGCAAATGTTTAGATTTGTTTGTTCCGCGAATCTCGTTAGCTTGATTATTTTAGGAATTGGATCGATTTGGATTTCCTTGAATGTGATTCTCGGTCCAGATTTATAGGTTTTAATTAAGTAATGCAACTATTTAGTTGCCATTTATGTTAATTACCTACTCTGCTAGGTTTATATAAAAGTTTCTTAAATATTGCCTAATTATGCTTCTTCCCCCCAAAAAATAAAAAAATTTCAAATTCCCAAAAACTGGTTTAGGGCTTTTGGGTGAAATTTTTTATTTCATTCACAAAACTTCAACTTTTCTCAAATAAAATACATGTCCAAACAAAACTTCTAACTTCCAAAAATTATTTTTCAACAAAAGTTCAAAAACTCTTTTTTCAAGTTTCAATCAAATCTATGTCCCTACACTAGCTTAGTCCCCTGTATGCTTGTGAGATATATTTTTGATCTGACATACTGGTATCCCAATATTATAATAACTAAACGGTAAAAATTTTAATTCACCTATAGTTGGTATATTAAAAGTTTATATATAATAAAAGCATTAGGGGTTTTATTGACAAACAACATCAATCACCATGGATACCTCAATGGAAAGTAAAGTGGCAAAAGTGACAAGCACCAAACACTGAACAAGGATGGTCCATAGCAATAACAATGGTCCTCTGCAATACCTATGGGGAACTCTATTCTCATTATCTTAAATCTTTTTTGAAGCTTAGATGTTTCAGCATCACCTGCCAAAATCACTAGCATCCCAAATTAATTAGCTCTTTCACAAACCTATGTTCCTAACATTGAAAAGAATCAAGATCAGTGGAATTGATAGAAGGATTAGTGTGAATAAGAATTTGGTAGAAGACAACATACACTGCTAGATAATAGAGGCCTTGTAAAAAGAACAAGGACCTACTTAACTTTTGTATATGGTTTCCAGCACTTTGTTTGTGCTGATGATATGTAAAAAAAAGGACTGACGGTAATGAACTAATGATAGCCTTTTAGAATGAGTAACCTGGCATGTAATTACATGCGCTGGGCCAACACCATTTTTTTGATTGAACACATATACGGCAAATGAAAGATGATAAGCAAAGTATAAAGTATCTGTCTCTATAAAGTATAAAGTATAAACTGAACATCCTTTTAAGTTGGCAAATGAAAGATGATAAGCAAAGTGCAGATCCTTGAAACTTATCCAAGCATGTTATTTCTAACATTTTATGCACAAAGTTACAAATTATTCCTCTATATCATAGTTCAGCATAACCTTGCGAAGGCACAAAAAAATATTGCTTGCACCTCTGCAATAATAGTTATTTTTGCATTAGAGAGCCCAATTACATTCTATTAGACTACAGGCATAATTATGTGCTTGAAAAATGACATACTCATGGGTGACACACAAGTGATGCAGCAAGGAAAAGGGAAAAAATTGGACTTAACGAGACATCAAACCAATATTGAAGAAATATTGCTGTATCATTCGTAGCAACAGGAGTTGTACTTGTTTGATTCAGCACAAAAGGATTGCAAAGCTGCAGTTGATGGGGGCCATAGGGAAAAAGCTCAATTCAACAGCTTGACTTACACCACTTAAAAAAGTAAACACCAAAAGTTATAGTAACACAAAGTACATGCTATGACATTGTTCATTTTCACCAGATCCTACAAAGAATCAACTCCACATCAGTTTGAGACCAAGATCCTACTATTTGGCCAGAAATAGATAATCAAACAGTCAAATCCACTTAGTCATTCATTATCTCAGCTTAGTAAAACATGCTTCCTACCTATAACAGTCAGCGAGAACATCTTTGAAGCATGATTACAGGAACAAGCATGACAGTCACAACCCAGCCGTACCAGGATTCAGTTCTTTCACATCTCCCGAGTCCTGTGATTAAAATCGTAAATGCGCAGAACGCTACAAGTATAGATAAGACGGTCCGTTGCTTCAATTATACTCTTACCCTTTCTTTATAACTCCACATTTCTAAGACACAGGCAATGACAGTAGAAAGGATGGAAAATGCAGATGAACGATCTTGCGAGCTCTTTTCACTCTTCAGGAACTAACTGCACCTTGTGCCCTAAGCAGAACTCAAGCTCTTCCGGGTGAACCTTTTCACTTTTCCACTGTTGGAATTTGGAGAACCAAAGAGGCCACAAATTGCTGGGTGTTGGCGTATATGATGTGGGCACTTGTAAAGCAGATCTTTAGCCTCGGAATGTCTACCTTCAGCAAAGAAGGTCTGAAAAACATGTTGGTAGGCTGAAACAGATGGATAGTCCTTGACGCTCAACGCCTTCAAAAACTCCACCGCATCCTCCACTGTTCCTGACTTTGAAATATATTGATGAAAGGGTTCAGGAAAAGGCGGATAATTGTGTTTCTTCATCCGACGGAGGAGATCTAATGCTTCTTCGAATTTCCTTTCCCCTAAGAGCTTTTGAATGATAAGTTTGTAAGTTGCTTGCCACGGGCGCATTTGAAACCTATTCACCATCTCGATCAACAACTGATATGCACCAAAAACTCTTCTCTGACTTAGGAAACCATTAAGCAGTACATCCAACAGATCAGCATCTGTATCAACATTTTTCTCCATCATCTTAGCAAAACAAAACAGTGCCTTATCAACTTCACCAGCTAAACAATGCCCTTGTATCAGAACAGTCCAAGTCTTGATATCCGGAATGCATCCACATTCTTCCATCGCATCAATCACGTTCAAGGCCTCCTCCAACCTCCGCATTTTGCAGAGTCCATAGATTAATTGGCTGTAGGTAATATTATCAGGTTCAAATCCTGCATCTCTCATAGCTTCTGTTATCTTCTCTGCTTCCTCAAATCGCCCCAAGTTAGCCAAACACCTATGAATGACATCATAAATAATCTTTGAGCGTGAATGCCCTGCTGCCTCAAATTTTCCCACAACTCTAAATAGCAGATCAAGATCTGGGGGATTTGACTGTGCGATGGATCTTAAAAGAATATTACACTCACCAAGTGATGGTTTAAACTGACCGTCCATCATCAGCTCGTATAGTTCTACTGCATCTCTCAACATCCTAATCTTCTGAAAATGCCTTGAGATCTTTATATATGTATCAAGATCTATTTCAAAACCTATGCTCTTCATTTCTTCTACCACACTCCAAAACTCTTCAATCGACTCTTCTCGGCAAAGAACCCTAAGAATCCCATTGTAAGTAACGGTGTTGTGCTGAAAACCTAAACTCCTAGCAACCCATTTGAAAAAGTTGAAAGCTTTAAGCGGATATCCTATTTCCCTAAGTTCCTTCAACACCCTAAGCACAAAATTATCCGACACCGAGAGTTTCATTTCCCGTAATTGTCTCTCCACCTCGAATCCCCATTCTTGTTTCTTAATCAATTCGGACACATCGATTGCCAAATCACCCATAGCATTTTCTTTAATCATCCTACCATAGAAATGCTTCAAAGCAGTGGCATCAGTTTCCATTTTCAAATTCCTAAAAACGGAATGAATTGACTTATAAGTTTCCTCATCAATATAAAAACCTTTCTCTTTCATTTCCTTAATAGTAATCCAAAAGTCCTTCATAGAATCCTTATTGGCATAAATTCTGAGCATCAAACTGTACATAGCAGAACTAGGTTCAAACCTCTTTTGCTTAATTACCCATTTCAAGAAATTTCCAGCCTTTTTCGGGTCTTTATCAAGTTTCTTCAACAGATACATAACAGCTTCATGGGTCACCGGAAAATCAAGTTTTCCTAAATCCTTTTCTAAATGTTTGGACCAGTCGTTGGATAGTATAATGTCTACAAAAGATTCAGGTTTTGATGAAAAGGAAACATTTTGATGGGCGCCGAGTATAGTAGCAGAAGTACAAATTTGTGTGGGAAGGGAAGGAGAAAGGTAAAAGTAGTGAGTCACCTGAGGGTTGGGCGAGGGAGCTCGAGAAAGCTGAGTAAGAAACAGCGAATTCTTCAGTCGAAGCGAACTCAGGATTCTCTTGCCCTGATTCATGGCTGCCGTGATCTCTCTCTTCTAACGGATACAAGGGAGATGCAAAACCCTTGAAAACCCCCCCTCTTCTTTAGGAATTAGGCTTATTTAGTGTAGGAAATAACTTATAACTGAACCTTAATACATTCTTCATTTATTTGCCTTAAAAAAATCTCATCAAATTGGTTAGTTATTAATTGACTTACCTAGCGGGTTGAGTAAGGTGCCATTACGACTAGTTGTATTTTGGGCCGTGACAAGAAATTAGGAATTGCGTTAAAAGATGGTTGGATTTTATCGGGTTGGGCATGGTTAATTATACATAATCGGGTTAAAAGAAATATAGAGTCAAGTAAAGAAGAACCAGTAATATAAAGACACGTGGCAAAGTCGGGATCGAAAAATTAATTCTTATTGCGGAAAAACCAGAAAATGGAACTATTATTAGACAATGGCATAAATAGGCCAAAAGCATAACGTTAGTGGCATGCATGGGGCAAAAGTATAACGTTAGTGGCATGAATGAACCAACCTTTTAACGGATGACATAGATAGGCCATTTCTATTAGTTGAGTGGCATGAATAGGCCAAAAGTATAACGTTAGTGACATGAATGAACCAACCTTTTAACGGATGACATAGATATGTCATTTCTATTAGTTGAGTGGCATGAATAGGCCAAAAGTATAACGTTAGTGGCATGAATGGACCAACTTTTTTACGGATGACATAGATAAGCTATTTCTGTTAATTGAGTGACATAATTTTTATGCATTCATTTACTTCATAATCTAAATTTTGATTTTTATTTTTTTATTAACATAGGTATTCGATACTTAATTGGCCCGATTGATCCAGATTCACCTCACATAAGACTCATTAAAAATAAAAAGGTTACCAACTAAATTTTTTTTCTTCCCATTCTAAGGGATCATATTTGAAGTCTCTAATTAAGGGCAGAGAAGTTCTCAACCATCCTGTCATATCGGTCGGTGAATCTAGAAATTTATATCAATAGAAAATTAAAATCTCCATAAAAAGTCATGAATTCTGTTGGAACCACATTTCTGCGGTTTTGCCATAGGACCAACAGAAAAAGACCTTGCCCATTTAGTAGAATTCAGGAAATAAATTATATTAAGGTCCACAAAATAATTCAACTCGTATTCTTGAGTAGCCGTGAGATATTGCAGGTATGGATTAAGCTGCAAAACATAGATCCTTTACAATCTATTTCCTTGTATAATTGGGAGATGCATTGGTCAGTGGCTGTTATTTTTCAAATATTAATCCTTAAAAAGACTTTGTTAGTTTTATGTTACGGTAATTTTCTGTTGAGGTTTTATTTTAAGATGTAATATTCTTAAAATGAGGGTGAATGGGAAATGGAGGGAAAATAAAATTTTGAGTAAAATTTTAAGTTTTCCCCTCTTAACAATGAGACATTGTCCCATATTGGAAGTGGAAGACATTTTTGGTGGGTATATATATAATTGCTCTTCTTGTAGCTCTTAAAGAGTTAAGAAGAAAGCAAGCCTCGCGCCGTCGTCGTCGTCGCTCGCTCGGCTCGGCTTCGGCTTCGGATTTGGTCAAATGATTGATTGATTAATTTTTTGGACCAAATTTATTTGTTAATAGTAAATATTAACGTAAGATTATCCGTATTTGTAAACGGATATTTTCCAATCCGTGTATTGATAATTTGGCAGCCGGATAATGGTCTTCCCACCATGAAGTGCTTGCTCCACAAACATGAAGTGCTTGCTCCACAAACATGTAATGCTTGCTCCACCATGAAGGGTGGACGTTTGGTCTTGCACTCCTTCTTGGCTGCTATATATATGAGCAGCAAATGTTGAAGAAAGATACCAAAAACTCAACATACAATTCGCTCAACAAATTGGCTATACATTGCATTCCTTCCTCTCAGAACTTCCATACGTTTTTCTGAGTATATACTCCTTCGTTCTGCATTGTTTTTTAACTTCAAACAAAGCAACTGTAAGTGTGATTTGCTACCGAACTTTGTGTTCGCCGAAACACTGGGGTTTGAAGTACCGCTACACCAGTGTGTTATTCGTTCTATCCTGGGAGGAAATAATCCATTACCTTGGGTACTAGGAGGGGATTAAATTCCTTAAGGAAACACTGTGAATTCAGTGGGCTCGAATTTATTATTATTGTTTCATTACGTTAACTTATATTTTGCAGAATTAATATTTACAAATACAGCAATATTGACCGGGAATAACAATCTTAAGGAATTTAATATTTATTTCTGTACTTGTGTTATTCTTATTATTCTGCAAACTAAAACCTTTGTGGTTTGTGTACTCCCGTTTTGGAGAGTTAAGCCTTCGTGGCGTTTTGTTGGATATTAAAATCTACGTGATTTTTACTCCAGTTTGAAAACGTGTATTAAACGTTTGTTTGTGTCATTCTTTTATGAAAAAGATGATGACTGAAAACGAAAACCAAGCTGTTCCGATGGCGACTGCCAACGCAACGACAAGCCGAACACCGGCGTTGGCACCGGCAGAAAAACCCGGAAAATTTTCCGGGATTGATTTCAAACGCTGGCAGCAGAAGATGTTCTTCTACTTAACTACGTTATGTCTACAGAAGTTCATCAAGGAAGATGTTCCTGATCTGCCGGATAAAACTCCAGATAATGAACGCTTTCTCGTGATTGAAGCGTGGAAGCATTCTGATTTTTTATGCAAGAATTATATTCTTAGCGGACTGGATGATAATCTGTATAATGTATACAGTAGCATGGAGACATCCAAAGAATTGTGGAATGCGCTTGAAAAGAAATATAAGACTGAAGATGCCGGGATGAAGAAATTCGTTGCCGCAAAATTTCTGGACTACAAAATGATAGATAGCAAGTCTGTTATTACTCAAGTCCAGGAATTGCAAGTGATTATTCATGATCTACTTGCTGAAGGTCTTGTAATCAACGAAGCATTCCAAGTAGCAGCAATGATTGAGAAGTTGCCTCCGTTGTGGAAGGACTTCAAAAATTATTTGAAACACAAACGAAAGGAAATGTCCCTTGAAGATCTCATTGTTCGGTTGAGAATCGAAGAGGACAATAAAGCTGCTGAAAGGAGAGGCCGTGGAAATTCAACAATAATGGGAGCAAATATTGTTGAAGCTAACAAAAAGAGGAAGAAGGCTTCTGGTCCGAAATACAACCCAAGCAAGAAGCGGTTCAGTGGAAACTGCTACAACTGTGGGAAAACCGGACACAAATCTACGGAGTGTCGTGCTCCGAAGAAAGACAAGAAAAGGGGTCAAGCAAACATGGTAGTAAACCATGATGATGTTGATAACTTGTGTGCCATGCTCTCTGAATGTAACTTGGTGGGAAATCCTAAACTGTGGTGGTTTGATTCAGGAGCCACTCGCCATGTTTGTGCAGTTAGAGAGGCTTTTGCTACCTATGCTCTTGCTGAACCCGGAGAGACAGTTTATATGGGAAATGCTTCAACAGCAAAAGTTGAAGGATATGGGAAGGTATTTCTAAAAATGACTTCTGGCAAGGTCATGACTTTGAACAATGTCCTTCATGTTCCCGAAATGAGAAAGAATTTAGTCTCTACTGGACTTCTTGTTAAGCACGGTTTTAAGTGCGTTTTTGTATCCAACAAGGTTGTAATTAGTAAGAATGGAATATTTGTGGGAAAAGGTTACCTCACCGAGGGCCTTTTCAATCTAAATGTAATGGTTGTTGAAAATAATAATAATATTTCAGCTTCTTCTTACTTACTTGAGTCAAATGATTTATGGCATGTACGTTTGGGTCATGTCAATTATAAAACCTTGCGGAAAATGATTAACTTGGAAGTACTGCCCAAGTTTGAATGCGAAAAATCAAAATGTCAAATATGTGTGGAATCTAAGTATGTTAAACATCCTTATAAGTCAGTTGAAAGGAATTCAAATCCTTTAGACTTAATTCACACAGATATTTGTGACATGAAGTCAATACCATCTCGCGGTGGAAAGAAGTATTTCATAACTTTTATTGACGATGGTACTCGATATTGCTATGTTTACTTACTGAATAGTAAAGATGAAGCAATAGACGCATTCAGGCAATACAAAAATGAAGTTGAAACGCAACTTAACAAGAAAGTAAAAATGATAAGAAGTGATAGGGGTGGTGAATATGAATCTCCTTTTGAAGAAATATGTTTAGAATATGGAATTATTCATCAAACAACAGCCCCTTACACGCCCCAATCTAATGGGATTGCGGAAAGAAAGAATCGCACATTAAAGGAGATGATGAATGCGTTGTTGATAAGTTCTGGTTTGCCACAGAACTTGTGGGGGGAAGCCATTCTTACGGCTAATCGAATATTAAATCGAGTGCCCCATAGCAAAACACAATCCATTCCTTATGAACAATGGAAAGGAAGGAAGCCCAACTTGAATTATTTTAAAGTGTGGGGGTGTTTGGCAAAAGTGCAAGTTCCTAAACCCAAAAGGGTAAAGATAGGACCGAAAACCGTTGATTGTGTTTTCATAGGATATGCGACAAATAGTAAAGCATATCGATTTCTGGTTCATAAATCAGAAAATCCCGACATTCATAATAATACGGTTATAGAATCAGATAATGCTGAGTTTTTTGAAAATATATATCCGTATAAAAAGGAATGTGAGTCGTTTGGTGAAGGATCTAAACGACCTCGGGAAGAAACAAAAGAAAGTACATGTAATCAGGAGAATCCAAGACGTAGTAAACGTCAAAGAACGTCTACTTCATTTGGACCAGATTTTGTGACTTTCTTATTGGAGAATGAGCCTCAAACATTTAAAGAAGCTATGACTTCTTCGGAATCATTGTTTTGGAAAGAGGCAGTCAATAGTGAAATAGAATCCATATTGAACAACCATACATGGGAATTGGTTGATCTTCCTCCTGGAAATAAACCTTTGGGTTCTAAATGGATTTTTAAGAGAAAAATCAAAGATGATGGCACTATTGATAAATTCAAGGCAAGGCTCGTAGTCAAAGGGTATAGACAACGAGAAGGTCTAGACTACTTTGATACATACTCTCCAGTTACAAGAATTACGTCCATACGGATGTTAG